TAAATGAGCTTCCTTAAAATGTAAGACATAAAATGCAAAACTGTCAAATGATCTTAGCTCAAATGGCATGATGCAGAATTCAAAACTGTCAAATGATCTTGGTTCAAATGACAGAATACAGAATGCAAAGCTGTCAAACGAGGTTGCATCAAATGGCAGGATGTAGAATGAAAAACTGTTAAATGAGCTTGTTTCAAATGGCATGATGCAGAATGCAAAGCTGTCAAATGATCTTGGTTCAAATAACAGAATACAGAATGCAAAGCTGTCAAACGAGGTTGCATCAAATGGCAGGATGCAGAATGAAAAACTGTTAAATGAGCTTGTTTCAAATGGCATGACGCAGAATGCAAAGCTGTCAAATGTCATTGCTTCAACTGCCATGGCACAGAATGCAACGCTGTGAAATAAGCTTGTTTCAAACGACATGACGCAAAATGAAAAGCTGTCCAATGCAAAGCTGCCAAATGAGTTTGGTTCAAATGACTTGACACAGAATGGAAAGCTGTCAAATGAGCTTGGTTTAAATTGCATGACACATGATACAAAGCTATTAAATGATCTGGGTTCGAATGGCATTATGCAGAATGCAAAGCTGTCAAATGTCATTGCTTCAACTGCCATGGCACAGAATGCAACGCTGTCAAATGAGCTTGTTTCAAACGAAATGACGCAAAATGAAAAGCTGTCCAACGATCTTATTCAAATGACATGGCGCAGAATGCAAAGCTGCCAAATGATATTGCGTCAACAGGCATGACGCAGAATTCAAAGCTGTCAAATGATCTTGGTTCAAATGCCATGATGTAGAATGCAAAGCTTTCGTATGACATTGCTTGAAATGGCAGAACGCAGAAGTCAAAACTGTGAAATAAGGTTGCTTAAAATGTCATGCCACAGAATGCAAAACTGTCAAATGATCTGGGTTCAAATGTCATTATGCAGAATGCAAAGCTTCTTATGACATTGCTTCAATTGGCATGACGCAGACTGCAAAGCTGTGAAATTACATTGCTTCAAATTGAAAGACACTGAATGCCAAGCTGTCTAATGAACTTGTTTCAAATGGCATAACGCATAATGTAAAGCTGTCAATTTTAGCTTGCTTCAAATTGCATGACGCAGAATGCAATGCTGTCAAATGACATTGTTTCAAATAGGACACAGAATGCAAAGCTGTCTAATGAACTTGTCTCAAATGGCATAACGCATAATGTAAAGCTGTCAATTTTAGCTTGCTTCAAATTGCATGACGCAGAATGCAATGCTGTCAAATGACATTGTTTCAAATAGCAGGACACAGAATGCAAAGCTGTCTAATGAACTTGTCTCAAATGGCATAACGCAGAATGCAAAGCTGTCAAACGAGCTTGTTTCAAATGGCATGACACATAAAGCAAAGCTGTTAAATGAAGTTGTATCAAATAGCATGACGCAGAATACAAAGCTGTCAAATACATTGCTTCAAATGGCATGATACAGGTACCACTTTCATTGTTTGAAAACTGATAAATTCCTTTTCCCGGTCCACACTGGAAGAGTGAATGAAACAATAAAAGGATAATACAAAATAATAAACTTTATTACACGTAATAACTTAATCATTATCTACAGTTTCTATCTTTCGACCTCCATTCAAACTTCGCTTGTGCAAAAACTGTAATAGTCATCGCTCCATTGGTGTTAGGTCATTTTTGCACGTTTTTGTAAGAATGAAAAACAAATGTTCATAAACTTAAAAACTACCATGATTGCTTCATTTGTTACGTGAGAAATCTACAGTCGCGTACACTTGTGCCGTGCGTTCGGTCCACCCATTAATTATTCATAAATGGAGTCAGTTTGTGTAGTTTTCTTGATTTATTCTGCAGATATAGGTAAAATATAAGTAAAGCTTCGGCGAAATTGTTAATGGATTTTATTTTTCATACTGGTCATTTGTTTTTCCAGTTAAAAAAATAAAAAAAAATATGACAGCTTTGTATTCTGCGTCATGCTATTTGATGCAACCTAATTTAACAGCTTTGCATTCTGCGTCATGCCATTTGAGAAAAGTTCATCAGACAGCTTGGCATTCTGTGTCCTGCAATTTGAAGCAATGACATTTGACAGCATTGCATTCTGCGTCATGCTATTTGAAGCAATGTAATTTGACAGCTTTGCATTCTGCGTTATGCCATTTGAGACAAGTTCATTAGACCGCATTGCATTCTGCTTCATGCAATTTGAAACGAGCTAAAATTGACAGTCTTGCATTCTGTGTCATGTCATTTGAACCAAGGTAATTTAACAGCTTTGCATTCTGCGTCATGCAATTTGAAACAAGCTCAGTTGACAGCTTTGCATTCTGCGTTATGCCATTTGAGACAAGTTCATTAGACAGCTTTGTATTCTGTGTCCTGCAATTTGAAACAATGTCATTTGACAGCATTGCTTTCTGCGTCATGCTATTTGAAGCAATGTCGTTTGATAGCTTTGCATTCACTGTCATGCCATTTGGATCAATGTTATTTAACAGCGCTAGCTTTGCATTCTGTGTCATGCCATTTGAAGCAAAATTAATTGACAGCTTTGCATTCTGTGTCATGCTATTTGAAGCAATGCCTTGTATTTGAGTGCTGGCTTCACCATCCAAAGCGGCATTTAAGTATGCGAATTTCAGTACATCAGTGATATTAGGATTAGAGTACATAGTATAGTTGAAATTGTCATCAATTTCACACCATTTCAGGGGGTCTCCATATAATTTAGCAATCTCGAGTTTCCGTAACTGTACTCCTGTGATGATCAGATGAAGGGCTGGGTTGTACTGTAGAGCTAGTTGTAGATTTGACTGTATCGTATGGAAAGTCGTAAGGGACCCTACGGCGTCAATTTAAAATGTTGTAGCATGCAATTTAAATTGACGAAGCAGGGTCCCGTACAGCTTTCCATGGTTAGATACTTTTCACAACGTACCATACATCATTTAAACAGTCATATCTCAACTAATGATTAATCTTTTTTATGTCGTTTTTACAGTGCTAATATGATGTCATCATCACAGGTACTCTACTATGGCTACATTTACCATAAATGACAGATTAACTTCAATTTGCTCACTAATTTCCGAAATTTCTTGTTTTATAATTGATCTCGCTAATAAAAACTCTCCAGTAAATGCAATTTATGAGTAGTACTGCGACAGCCTGTAACATTAAATTTATACGATTCGATTTCGATTCACATACGATTGTCGTTCGATTCGCGTTCGAATCACGTACGATTGATACTCCCATTGAAATACCTATAATTCACGCAAATGTTGATATATAGCATATTTTGTGTAAGCAAAATAGCGATCAACCTATTTTTTGGAGAAAATCACAGTTATAAATCGTCCCACAGTCTCGCTCATATCGGAAATGACGTATAAAATAGCCATAGAAACACACGAGAAACACATAAATATGTTTAAAAGAACATGAATCATGTAATAAAAATATGAAGTCTCAAATTATCACCATACAATTTAAAAACAAATAAAATCTTTGAAACAAGGACGTTGATGATATTTTATATTTATGATCATTGCCCTTTGACCTCCCGTGCATTCCCAGATGCGTCAAGGAACTGACATGCGCACTATTTTATAAAGTATTTATGACCTTGATTTCCACAGAAAATAGTCAATTGATTCCGATTTTACCGCACAAAAATATTGTTAAATTAGCTGAAATTGCTATATATCAACATTTGCGTAAAATATAGGTACATTGTTTTGTATTCCAGTTGAAGTATCAAACGTACGTGAATTGTACGCGAATCGAGTCGTACGCTGTCTTCACACTCGTAATAGTATGTTCAACGCGTAGAACTTGATAAATAACGTCATTATTCTAATTACATAATGAATTTGAAATTCTGTTAAATTGAACGAAATGCTTATACACGCAGTACACTATGTATATAGGGTATTCTTTGCAGCAAACTTGCTTAAACGGTCTTAGCCAATGGTATGACATTTTATGTTAGTAAAAACCCGCACACGAGTTATTTAAGTTATTTTACAAATAGGTTAAATAAGTGGTGGCCATCTTGAAAATCTATGTGACTATCAAAAGAAAGATTGTCTTACCCAGTAAATATGGGATTCAACACTAATTTAATGTCCCATACTGCTCTGAAAGCTATTTTAAAGGACGTTGCAGAAATGTAAATCTTCGTCATTATTAACACATGTTATCAATTGAGACGTGGTAAAGCAGGTGAAACTGTTAGATGCGTAATCAAATTGAAGAATACTTATAATAGTTGTTTACATGGTTGATAGAAACACCTATTTACAAAGCAACGTACGATAAAAAACGAATGTACTCTGCAACCTCTTTGAGTCTTTGGTTTCAGCGCCCTCGACGACGAACTCGACGCAACACCCTCTATAATAAGATCGGTCATGCAAAATATTTATTCTAAAGCATGGTATATTCAATGTTTCTGAATTTAACATGGCTGAACCCCGAAGCTTTGTGCTCTTTTAGAAAAGCATGTCTTGCTGGATCTATGTTTAAGTCATAGACCCAGATGGAGTTGTATTTTGCCGACGTCCCAGCCTGGAGCACGTTTGTTCTTAGGAATGTTTCCATGCAATATGTCTCATGGGTCTTCAACAAAGCGAAACTATGGTTGCGTAGACGTTTATCATTTTTAATATACAATCAAACCTGTGTCAGCCACCTCTTTATACAAAGACTATCTCCCGGTATTTACCCCATTTGTGTAGTACAAGTGAATTTGAAGGTAAAACAGTAACATGAAAGACTAAATGTTTAATGTGACCAGTAACCGTCATTTTGGCAGTAGTTAGGTCCAATAAATTTGTGGAGTAAGCCAAAATGATGAACGATCATTGTATATCTAGTGTTTTTTTCTACAATGATTTTTCAATTAATTTCAAAATCTGTGTCATTATAACAAGTATATCTGTTCATATTTAGAACAGATATAGCATAGTGCACCCGTTATACACTAACAAATGTGAATATTGGCACAGCATAAACATATAAAAAAGAGTAGAAAGGTAACAACTAAAACTGTTTTAGATGTATAGGTATATGTATTAATGGGATTATCTATACAGGAGATTATAACCCACGTTGCACACAGGAAACTGGATTTTCCTTTGTCTCAGACAGAAGTTGCATGTCCCTGTTTTCTAAGGTCTATGAGCAAACGAGCAAATTTTATTATTTATTTTTCATTTTCAAATATTTTGACAAATCGCTCCATGTTCCCAATGGTTTTTGCAAAGCCACACAAGCCAATATATGGTTGGTTGGATGAATTTAGAAATGACATCATAATTACCATAATACTTCAAAGTGTAAATAAAATACATTTTGTTATAATTACTCCTATTATATTTCGAATTTGCAGGACAAAATATAAGTATGATGTTCCTCTGACGTCATTTCAATGGAATTTACATTTACATAAGCTATACAATTGTGCTTGCTATTACACGAATGTGTAATCTAGAAATATCAAGCTTGTGGAAACAAATTCTGAATGGAACCATATGTCTGTCAACGTTTTCAAAAAAAATATTATAACTATCATATCAAAATTTCAAATTGTTGGAACTGGGTGAAAATGAGAGAACAGCGTTTAATTTACGTCATTTACATACGACAACTCTGTTTTCCAAAACTTTAAAATAAAGTAAAAACCACATCACAGATACTTTTAAGATGAAAAAGCAAAGGTTTTGCGATTTGTACTCAGAAACGTTTAAATGCGCCGATTTTCAATGTTCAAATCAAAGTTGAAACAATTTCAGTAAATATTCATTTTTTTTTCTCCTGAATTGACTACTGCACCTCAGTCAATATTTATTCAACTCTACTTCGTGTGTACAATGTTTTGTAATGGGGGGCCACGTCCGTGGAAGTACTGGGTGTAGGCATCTCCAGGTCCTGCCGCATCTGAGACAGCAAAACATTAGAAAAATCAAATATTCCATGTACAATATGACAATGACCATTTATCTGTTTTGTTATTTATTGAATTAATGATTTGCATATGAACGTTAATACCCATTTATAATGCAGGCTTAAAGCTACATGTTTTTATTCCTCTGTTAAGTTTTCGGAGCTCTGCAAAGTGAGAAATATGTTCACATCACCGAAAACTACACATTTGCATAATTTACATGGATGCACATAACTAAACATATCAGTATGTTTGGTTTAGAACGACAATGATATTTTTTACACTTTAAGACGAAAATATAACAAACATCTAGACTATCTTAGGTGGATAGTACAATACTCAAACGGAACAAAATTCTTAGAGATATTACAGTTTGGATCTCTCTCACTAACTGAATCTGGAATTGTAATAGTGTAAGGCCAAGGTTGAAATATAAAATAACAAATTTGTTTTGGCTCTGAGTGCCTACGAATCTTGCTCTGAGTGGCTATAAACCTGGCGCCAAGTTCCCCCTGGCATGCATTGTTATTGTAATAAAAAAGACTAAACTGATTTTAATATGTTATAACTAGATTACAATAAGCTGCAGCAAAAAAAAATGGTGTTAGGTGTTAACCAAATCTCGTGAATCCTATGACTTCTAATATTTCCGGTATCTACATATCTGCTGTGTGAGTACACCAAATATCAGAAGTGCAGTCTCCACCCGGATATCGGATTTCATGAGCCAGGGCCGGTCCGTCGGGTTCGTTGCCGAAGTCCACCAGGAAGTCCTTGTTAAGTGTCAGTCCACCAGTTTTTATATCGACATCGACCTGAAGCATAACACTGCCTTGCCTAAAATAAAACCAAAAAATATCCATATTGTTTATCGATGGTTTTTCATACAACGTACTATCCTACAATGCACTTGACAAGATATGTAAGGTGTGTACTACCATTATTGTAATGTACTTATATACGGAAATTATGTGATGAAAATGGAGTATGCTGTCCTGCTATAATGATTAAAGGAAACATCAGTCTAAGCAACATAATGACACCTAAAGAGAAAGGTCCACAAAATGTAGGAGAATGCAATTTACAGTTTTTTTTATATCACTTTTAATTCTCTAGATATTCAACTTTATATCATTATTATGTAGTCAGCCATCTTGATTCTCAAACAAAGGATTTTAGGTAAAGTATGACATCATAGAATCTGTTGTCAAAAATTGAGAAAATTATTTCACCAACAACACGAGTAATACTGATGCGAATGTTCGTTGTGCATATTACTCATGTATATAATTATAGTAGTGCAAATTGGAATATTACAGATACACATAAAGTGAAGATATTGCTAAAAACGTTAAAAAAAATAAAACTCGATATTTTAGTCGTGAAATATAAAATGACACTTTTGTGTACCCTTTTTTGTGGGCAACATGTAATATATCACTTATATAACCTACTCACATTGATAAATTGTATACAATATAATATAAGGAAATTTGATAATTTGGTCGAAACACATAAAATTAGATATTTTCAGTTCTGTTTTCATGACAACTATTTTATAAACATGGAGGGCACCAGTACATGTAACATGTATGCTACCAATCTCTAAACTTTCAGCCAATTTGAAGTTAAACTTTTGAAATTATAGATGAAATCATTTTCTCAATTTCTGACAACAGTGGATATGTCATACTTTAGCCATAATCAAGATGGCCGAGTACATAATACTGATATAAAGTTGAATATCTAGAGAACTAAAAGTGATATAAAAAAAAACTGTAAATTGCATTCTCCTACTGTACATTTGTGGAGCTTTTTCTTCAGGGGTCATTATGTTGTTTGGATTGATGTTTCCTTTAAAGTGGGGGAAGTCGTCACCTGCGCATGCGTTGATGGCCATAGCGTGTCATTGTTTACAAACAAGCGTCTACCCATGAGTCTTTACGTTTTTAGCGTGTATTGTTATCGTCGCTTGGGACTCAATTCCAGCGTGTGTGCGTAGGTGACGACCTTCTGACTTTAACTGATAAACGGACAGGATGTGGAATGTAGTACGTGATGTATATGCACACAAACCGACCGGATGTGACGCACATGAAGTGTGCCATGCTTCCTAACATGTCCCTATTTTCACAATTTTAAAGATGCATGAATGCTTACTCGATCATGTCAGGGTAGAATTGTTTGTCCCATGCGCTGTATAGTGACGTGGTGACGTACAGTCTTTTACCATCCAAGCTGAGTTGTATCTTCTGTGGACCCCCTGCAATGCGTTTACCATTCATGTACAGTGGATCTGGCTGTGATGTCATTTCCTTGTCTTCAACTATTTTCACACCACTGTCTGTTGTTACACTACCACCAAGGAAAATCTGAAAACCGAAACATATATGTGTATTCAATTATTGCCCACACCGGTCACTGGTAGCCTGGTGGTTGTCAGACTCGTGACCCAAGTTCAAATCCTACCTTAGGCTGAACATCAAAATGGTCCACCCCTACACTGGGTGAGTGTACCACAGACTCAATGGGAAGGCCAATTCCACTGGCCGAGATTTATTCACTCAAGAATGCGACTTTGGGGAACCTTGGTTAAGGTCCGCATGTGCTTGTGTTGACCCCAGGATATCGCATTAAAATTGCCATTTGATAGAGAGATGGCCACACAGCCCTGTCATGTAGTCCCAACCATGAATATGACTTCTGGGGCCAAAATGCACTATGTGTCAGCACTTGCAATTGCACATACAATAGTGAGATAGGAGATACAATAGTGACTTTCAATGCCAGGAACTGTCGCCTGGCACAAACATTCATTTAAAAACAAAATTATTGCCCACAGCGGGAACTTTAAAAGTAAAACTGAATCATTTTGACTGTGGACAAACTTTAACAACATGATGTATACCAACACAATCCTAGTCGTACCTGTCCAACCAATCGCGGATTTCTTGTGTCTGTGATGTCATACTGGCGTACATCTCCATGTAACCAGTTGGTAAAGTAGAGATATTTGTCATCCAATGAAAGCACTATGTCGGTTACTAAACCTAGAAAACGGGAAGAATAAACTAATAGTTAAGTTAGGCCATTGTTTCTACAGGGTGAACATATTCGAATGTTCGTGGGCAATGCCACTTTAATGAGTGTCACTACAAACGTACATGCACCCTCTACAGACATATTTAATTTGAAATATATCACAATTTCCTGGAAATTATTGTTATTGGCGAATAACCACAGATCACAAATAACAAGACGGACACAAAGAGGGCGTGGCGCGACTTATTGGACCGGCGGGGTGGTATCTTAGAGAAAATATACATTTCTAAAGTTTTAACTTGTGATTGATATAGACCACATTAATGTCCATTCAAAACGGGAGTGTCCTCTCATGACAAGATTTTTTTTTAATATTTGGAGCAGCGTATTCACCGCTGCTGCTTAGGCGATGATTGTTCGATCTTTCTTTTAGTTCACTATATCGAAATTCGTTCCAAAGCCAATTCGTCTCACAAGTCGATTTGTCGCAAAGTCGATTCGACAGATTTAATGTTAGCTCACCACTAACTCGCCAAAGAAGCACAAAAAGATCCAAACAACAAACTGTTCACATGCTCACCGTACACTGGCATGCGTAATTGTTTGTTACGCCATTTTGTTTTTGCCAACGTTGGGTTATACCACGGTTCTAGTGACGGAAAGGAAAAATAAAATATGACTAATATAAACTTTTACGTCGATGTCAACCTCTTGCACACAACATTAACCCTGCTCGAAATGATGACCAAAAATAAAAAAAATGGGACGAATGTGAAATAAGATGAATGTGAATTGGGTCGAATCGACTTGTGGGACGAATGTGTTGGGACGAATGTGAATTGGGACGTATTGACTGTGAATCTGTGTAAATACTTGGCATTTCCGGTAATAACCAGCCCTCCACTTTCTTGTCAGGAACGTCGATCACTTTTTCAGTAGCAAATTTACCATCCTGAAATAAATTAAATGTGAGCATTAATCAAATTTCTGTCAAATTCCTGTTACAGTGCTTCACTCGATGTTACACAATCATTTATGGTATTAATTATTGCGTCATTTCTAAATTCAACCAACCAGCAACTTGCCTGTTTAGGGTATTTATTAAAAACTTATTTTTCACGAATTTCAAAAACACATTGTGTTGCTGCCGTTGGCCGAACACATGTTTACTCTCTGTCACGCCTTATAATTCAACTATAGAAAATGTTTGATAATGACATTTCTTGTCACTCACTTTAGTTTTGTAAAATCGTATAACGTTACTGGAGAAAGCGGCGCCGACGAAACCTTCGGCAGCGGTCGGGTCATGCAGGAATCGAATTTCCAATGGCATTATGCCTTCCGGCCCAAGGTCAATATCTTGTATTCGTTTATGTGTGGTCCAATCCCATACATGCAATGATTGGCCGTATTCGCCTTAAATAAAATAAAAAAAAGTAGTAGGTTTGTTAAAAACCTATTTAAGTATACGCACAATGCTATACACGATGAATCGTGGTTGTAGATAATGTGGTAAGTATAATCTGTTTTTTTCCCCACGGAAATTAACGATTTCATTCAGGTGGAATCTACCGCATTATGTCAGACATACTTCTTGTTGATTATGGCGCACCAAGTAAAGCTCAGCAGCAGGATCAGCAACATTCTTTGTTAATTTCCACCTTGAACAGATAAATTGAACATAAGTAAAAGAGGTGAACAACTCTATTTGAAACACTATTTCCCATTATTATAGTAACACAATGTTTTATCTGGAAGCAAAGTTCCGACCTTCAAATGCCAAGAAGTGCGGATAAGAAGTGCGGAAAGGCGTGGAAAAATAGATTATATGATATCTAAAACAATCTTGTATTAAAGATAAATATGGCCATATACAGTTCTACTTTGCCAGGCTTGGCTGTTGTATCCACGTATTTTACATGACGCTGTAGTTGTTTCCGCTGAGGTCACCTGACATAATATGAAAGTGAATACAAGGTGACACTTACATCGGAATTTAATAGTAAATAATATACAACTGTCTAGTACCTATTAAACGCCAATCGTTTAGGTACATGCTCGAATTGTGTTTGGTGCCATGAGTCTTAGAGGTGATTAGATTTTGACCACTTCCCTTTGGCTAGAGTGTAGCCCGAAATCTAGTCTATTTTCCGGCCGAGCTTATGTATGTATTTGATGTCGATTTGCAGCAAAAGGGCAGGTGACATTTCTAGAATTTGGTTTGATGGGGATAATTCTTATTCGATCTCAACTTGAATGATGAAAAGCATTATTAAACTTCTTGGCGTATATTAATAAAATACAGTGACATTAGACATGTGACCTTACCTTTGCGATGGATGGGCGCCTTGGTTTAGTTTCCGTGTCAATCAAGTAGATTCGACTGGAACACAGACATGGCGCCACCAAACGGTTTCTTTTTCTACAACAGTTGTCATAGCAACTACTACATGCATTCCACCCGGTATGATGCAGCTCATCGCCCAAATATGGCATGTGTAAGCGGTGGATGATCTGATGAATTGTGGGTGAATGATGTTAGTTGCGTAATACAAGGGTGGTCCCGGCGTTATCAGACGAATTGGGAAACAGTCCGGGTATTTTATTTTCCTGAATCACATGTTTAACGATGACGGGAATTTTACGTTTGTGTGTGACATGCTAAAACAATATAAAAATGGCGTCTTTTCTACGCAGAACAATTGTGCTTTTGTAGTAGGTCTTACTTTTGATTTTCAATAATATTTATTATTATTTGTTTATTTGGATGCAGTTTTTTTTTAAATTTTTTTGTCAGTTAGATTCATTGAAACACATTAAGCGTGTACATGTGAAATTTGATAACACGTTAAAGCGCCCCCCCCCCCCCACCCAAATGTGGCCGTTCGATTGTTCTACATACCTGACAGTAATTGCTTGACCTGGGGTCAATGTCAACGGTTGCTATAAAATCCGGTTTCTCTGTTTTTGTCGTGCGATAGATACACGCTACATAGGCAATCTCCTCCCTGACGCCTGACTTGAACGCCGCCAACGGAGTGGCATATCCCGGTCCACGTCCTGGGTGGTTAATGGCTGAAAAGTAATGAGAAAGATGCGTTACGTCCGCGGTAAGTTAGTCATGGCGCACCAAGCCACAAGAGGCCGGTATTACAAGTTACGGTTCCAGCATTACGATTGGTCGATTACTATCCCGTTGCTTGTTCTATTTCCCTTGGTTACCTGACGTCAGCACTTACGCTCGTGGCCGTTCATGGGTTTGCTTTTACTTTCCAAAGTTGGGCGAATAAAAAACTGTTTCTTTTGTAAACAATTTGCACACCGAGTATATCAGACCCATCTCAAATATTTAGTCTTTGCTAGCAGATTGTATGGGCATGGTGTTATCACACCAATGAAGACTTGTTTATGGAAAGCGAAGTCGCGTACATACACGAATCCATGCTATTCAGTCCATCCATGGACATCTCTACCAAGCTGTTACAAGCCTGTAATCCTACGTTTGTCTGTAAAACACTTGTTTCACCGTGGAAATTTGTGCTAATAAAATTGTGTTAACATTTTAGCTAAGAATTATTAAAGTTCCCCTGAATATACACAATCTCACTGGGAATGTCATATAATCATTTATAAACCATTGGAAAAATTAAATATATAATTCAAAAGTTTAACGAGCACCAACCAACTAGATATTCCAGTAGCCAAATATACACAGAACAGTGCCTTCTAATGTTATAATACATTATGACTTTTTATTGTTTTGCTATTTTATTTCCTTTACAGTGGAATTAATGTGACTTATATTATTTTTAAATCTAAAGACTTACTGCTGTAATTCAGTATTTTGCTCAAAAATATTATAATATTGTTCATGTACATTAAAACCAACGACAGAACAGAACGTACTATACATAACATTATGGTTGTAACTGTGGCTGGTACACTAGAATTAACACGACGAATGTTGATTCAGACATACTGGTTAAAAATGTTCTTACGAGATCCAAATCACAGTGGGTTTGTAGTTGAAAAGTTTCTTCACCACTATTGAAACAAATCCGGGAACGATCACATTGCAAATGACAAATTTTCTTTCAACGCGATTTATCAAAGTACTCAAAATATTTTTTGACAAATGAGCATCCTTAAAATGGCATGACGCACAACGCAAAAGCGTCAAATAACCTTGATCCAAATTGAATGACACAAAATGCAATGCTGTCGCTTTACTGTTTGCATTTTTATTCAATACTAACAGAGGTAATCAGACTCATGAAAGAAAATGACCCTGCTCGAAATGGCATAACGCAGAATGCAATGCTGTTAAATGATCTTATTTCAAATGGCATAACGCATAATGCAAAGCTGTCAAATGACCTTGCTCCAAATGGCACAACATACAATGCAATGCTATTAAATCACCTTGCTTCAAATGACATAACACAGAATGCAATACTGTCAAATGACTCTGCTCCAAATGGCATAACACAGAATGCAAAGCTTTTAAATGACATTGCTTCAAATGGCATAACGCAGAATGCAAAACTGTTAAATGACCTTGCTCCAAATGGCATAACACAGAATGCAAAGCTTTTAAATGACATTGCTTCAAATGGCATAACACAGAATTCAAAGCTGTTGAATGACCTTGCCTTAAATGGCATAACACGAAAACAAAGCTGTCAAATGACCTTGCTCCAAATGCGACGACACAGAATGCAAAGCTCTCAAATGACCTTGCTCCAAATGTCACAACACAGAAAGCAATGCTGTTAAATGACCTTGCTTAAAATGGCATATCGCAGAATGCAAAGCTGTCAAATGACCTTGCTTCAAATGGCATAACGTAGAATGCAAAACTGTTAAATGACCTTGCTTCAAATGGCATAACGCAGAATGCAAAACTGTTAAATGACCTTGCTTAAAATGGCATATCGCAGAATGCAAAGCTGTCAAATGACCTTGCTTCAAATGTCACAACACAGAATGCAATGCTGTTAAATGACCTTGCTGAAAATGGCATATCGCAGAATGCAAAGCTGTCAAATGACCTTCCTTCAAATGGCATAACGCAGAATGCAATGCTGTCAAATGACCTTGCTCCAAATGGCATAACACAGAATGCAAAGCTGTCAAATGACCTTGCTCCAAATGACACAACACTGAATGCAATTCTGTTAAATGACCTTGCTCCAAATGGTATAACACAGAATGCATACCTGTTAAATGACTTTGCTTAAAATGGCATAACGCAGAATGCAAAGCTGTAAAATGACCTTACTCCAAATGGCATAACACAGAATGCAAAGCTGTCAAATGACCTTGCTCCAAATGACACAACACTGAATGCAATTCTGTTAAATGACCTTGCTCCAAATGGTATAACACAGAATGCAAAGCTGTCAAATGACCTTGCTCCAAATGACACAACACTGAATGCAATTCTGTTAAATGACCTTGCTCCAAATGGTATAACACAGAATGCATACCTGTTAAATGACTTTGCTTAAAATGGCATAACGCAGAATGCAAAGCTGTTAAATGACCTTGCTCCAAATGACATAACACAGAATGCAAAGCTGTCAAATGACCTTGCTCCAAATGACACAACACTGAATGCAAAGCTGTTAAATGACCTTGCTTCAAATGGCATAACGCAGAATGCAAAGCTGTTAAATGACCTTGCTCCAAATGGCATAACACAGAATGCAAAGCTGTCAAATGACCTTGCTCCAAATAACACAACACTGAATGCAATTCTGTTAAATGACCCTGCTCCAAATGGTATAACACAGAATGCATACCTGTTAAATGACTTTGCTTCAAATGGCATAACGCAGAATGCAAAGCTGTCAAATGACCTTGCTCCATATGGCATAACACGGAATTCAAAGCTGTTAAATGTCCTTGCTGTAAATGGCATAACACAGAATGCAAAGCTGTTAAATGACCTTGCTTCAAATGGCATAACACACAGTGCAAAGCTGTTAAAGGACTATGCTTCAAATGGCATAGCGCAGAATGCAAACCTGTCAAATGACTTTGCTTCAAATGGCATAACACACAGTGCAAAGCTGTTAAAGGACTATGCTTCAAATGGCATAACGCAGAATGCAAAGCTGTCAAATGACCTTGCTCCATATGGCATAACACGGAATTCAAAGCTGTTAAATGACCTTGCTGTAAATGGCATAACACAGAATTCAAAGCTGTTGAATGACCTTGCCTTAAATGGCATAACACAGAAAACAAAGCTGTCAAATGACCTTGCTACAAATGTCACAACCCAGAATGCAATGCTGTTAAATGACCTTGCTTAAAATGGCATATCACAGAATGCAAAGCTGTCAAATGACCTTCCTTCAAATGGCATAACGCAGAATGCAAAACTGTTAAATGACCTTGCTTCAAATGGCATAACAATGAATGCAAAGCTGTTAAATGACCTTGCTCCAAATGGCATTACGCAGAATGCAAAGCTGTCAAATGACCTTGCTCCAAATGGCATAACACAGAATGCAATGCTGTTAAATGACCTTGCTTCAAATGGCATAACACAGAATGCAAAGCAGTCAAATGACCTTGCTCCAAATGGCACAACACTGAATACAATGCTGTTAAATCACCTGGCTTCAAATGGCATAACGCAGAATGCAATGCTGTCAAATGACCTTGCTCCAAATGTCACAACACAGAATGCAATGCTGTTAAATGACCTTGCTCCAAATGGTATAACACAGAATGCAAAGCTGTTAAATGACCTTGCTTCAAATGGCATAACAATGAATGCAAAGCTGTTAAATGACCTCGCTCCAAATGGCATTACGCAGAATGCAAAGCTGTCAAATGACCTTGCACCAAATGGCATAACACAGAATGCAATGCTGTTAAATGACCTTGCTTCAAATGGCATAACACAGAATGCAAAGCAGTCAAATGACCTTGCTCCAAATGGCACAACACTGAATACAATGCTGTTAAATCACCTGGCTTCAAATGGCATAACACAGAATACAAAGCTGTTAAATGACCTTGCTTAAAATGGCATAACGCAGAATGCAAAGCTGTCAAATGACCTTGCTCCAAATGTCACAACACAGAATGCAATGCTGTTAAATGACCTTGCTTCAAATGGCATAACGCAGAATGCAAAGCTGTCAAAAGACCTTGCTTTAAATGGCATTACGCAAAATGCAAATCTGTCAAATAAGCTTGCTTCAAATGGCATAACACAGATTGCAAAGCTGTCAAATGAGCCTGCTTCAAATGAGCTTGCTTCAAATGGCATGACACAGAATGCAAAGCTGCCAAATCAGCTTGCTTCAAATAGTATGACTCAGTATGCAAAGCTGTCAAATGAGCTTGCTTCAAATGGCATGACACAGAATGAAAAGCTGTCAAACGACCTTGCTTCAAATGGCATAACACAGAATACAAAGCTGTCAAATAACGTTGCTTCATATGACATTACGCAAAATGCAAAGCTGTCAAATAACCTTGCTTCAAATGGCATGACACAGAATGCAAAGCTGTCAAATCAGCTTGCTTCAAATAGTATGACACAGTATGCAAAGCTGTCAAATGAGCTTGCTTAAAATGGCATAACGCAGAATGCAAAGCTGTCAAATGACCTTGCTCCAAATGGCATAACACAGAATGCAATGCTGTTAAATGACTTTGCTTCAAATGGCATAACACAAAATGCAAAGCTGTCAAATGACCTTGCTCCAAATGGCATAACACAGAATGCAATGCTGTTAAATGACCTTGCTCCAAGTGGTATAACACAGAATGCAAAGCTTTTAAATGACCTTGCTCCAAATGGCATAACACAGAATGCAAAGCTGTCAAATGATCTTGCTCCAAATGTCACAACACAGAATGCAATGCTGTTAAATGACCTTGCTTCAAATGGCATAACGCAGAATGCAAAGCTGTCAAAAGACCTTGCTTCAAATGGCATTACGCAAAATGCAAGGCTGTCAAATGAGCTTGCTTCAAATGGCATAACACAGATTGCAAAGCTGTCAAATGAGCCTGCTTCAAATGAGCTTGCTTCATATGACATGACACAGCATGCAAAGCTGTCAAATAACCTTGCTTCGTATGACATTACGCAAAATGCGAAGCTGTCAAATAATCTTGCTTCAAATGGCATGACATAGAATAAAAAGCTGTCAAATGAGCTTGCTTCAAATGGCATGACACAAAATGCAAAGCTGTCAATTGACTGAGCTAGCTTCAAATGGCATGACGCAGAATGCAAAGCTGTCACATCAGCTTGCATCAAATGGCATATCACAGAATGCAAAGCTGTCAAATGAGCCTGCTTCAAATGGCATAACACAGAATTCAAATACGTCAAATGAGCTTGTTTCAAATGATATGATGCAGAATGCAAAACTGTCAAATCAGCTTGCTTCAAACAGAATGACACAGTATGCAAAGCTGTCAAACGACCTTGCTTCATATGACATAACACAGAATGCAAAGCTGTCAAATCAGCTTGCTTAAAATGGCATAACACAAAATGCAAATCTTTCAAATCAGCCTGCTTCAAATAGTATGACACAGAATGCAAAGCTGTCAAACGACCTTGCTTCAAATGGCATGACACAGAATTCAAAGCTGTTGAATGACCTTGCCTTAAATGGCATAACACAGAATGCAAAGCTGACAAATGACCTTGCTCCAAATGTCACAACACAGAATGCAATGCTGTTAAATGACCTTGCTTACAATGGCATAGCGCAGAATGCAAAGCTGTCAAATGACCTTCCTTCAAATGGCATAACGCAGAATGCAAAACTGTTAAATGACCTTGCTTCAAATGGCATAACGCAGAATGCAAAGCTGTCAAATGACCTTGCTTCAAAAGGCATAACAATGAATGCAAAGCTGTTAAATGACCTTGCTCCAAATGGCATTACGCAGAATGCAAAGCTGTCAAATGACCTTGCTCCAAATGGCATAACACAAAATGCAATGCTGTTAAATGACCCTGCTTCAAATGGCATAACACAGAATGCAAAGCTGTCAAATGACCTTGCTCCAAATTGCACAACACTGAATGCAATGCTGTTAAATCACCTGGCTTCAAATGGCATAACGCAGAATGCAATGCTGTCAAATGACCTTGCTCCAAATGTCACAACACAGAATGCAATGCTGTTAAATGACCTTGCTCCAAATGGTATAACACAGAATGCAAAGCTGTTAAATGACCTTGCTTAAAATGGCATAACGCAGAATGCAATGCTGTCAAATCAGCTTGCTTAAAATGGCATAACACAAAATGCAAATCTTTCAAATAAGCTTGCTTCAAATAGTATGACACAGAATGCAAAGCTGTCAAACGACTTTGCTTCAAATGACATGACACAGTATGCAAAGCTGTCAAATAACCTTGCTTCAAATGGCATGACACAGAATTCAAAGCTGTTGAATGACCTTGCCTTATATGGCATAACACAGAAAACAAAGCTGTCAAATGACCTTGCTCCAAATGTGACGACACAGAATGCAAAGCTGTCAAATGACCTTGCACCAAATGTCACAACACAGAATGCAATGCTGTTAAATGACCTTGCTGAAAATGGCATATCGCAGAATGCAAAGCTGTCAAATGACCTTCCTTCAAATGGCATAACGCATAATGCAATGCTGTCAAATGACCGTGCTCCAAATGGTATAACACAGAATGCAAAGCTGTTAAATGACCTTGCTTAACATGGCATAACGCAGAATGCAAAGCTCTCAAATGACCTTGCTCCAAATGGCATAACTCAGAATGCAAATCTGTCAAATGAGCTTGCTCAAATGAGATGACGCAGAATGCAAAGCTTCAGATGACTGAGCTTGCTTCAAATAAGATGATGCAGAATGCAAAGCTGTCAGATAACCTCGCTTTAAATGGCATGACACAGAATCCGAAGCTGCCAAATAACCTTGATTAAAATGGCATGACACAGAATCCAAAGCTGTCAAATAACTTTGCTTCATATATCATTACGCAAAATGCAAAGCTGTCAAATGAGCTTGCTTCAAATGGCATAACACAGATTGCAAATTTTTCAAATGAGCTTGCTTCAAATGAGATGACGCAGAATGCAAAGCTGTAAAATGGCTGAGCTTGCTTCAAATGAGATGGCGCAGATTGCAAAGCTGTCAAATCAGCTTGCTTGAGATGGCATATCACAGAATGCAAAGCTGTCAAATCAGCTTGCTTCAAATAGTATGACACAGTATGCAAAGCTGTCAAATCAGCTTGCTTCAAATAGCATGACACAGAATACAAAGCTGTCAAACGACCTTGCTTCATATGACATTACGCAAAATGCGAAGCTGTCAAATGAGCTTGCTTCAAATGGCATGACACAAAATGCAAAGCTGTCAATTGACTGAGCTAGCTTCAAATGGCATGACGCAGAATGCAAAGCTGTCACATCAGCTTGCATCAAATGGCATATCACAGAATGCAAAGCTGTCAAATGAGCCTGCTTCAAATGGCATGACACGGAATGCAAATATGTCAAATGAGCTTGTTTCAAATGATATGATACAGAATGTAAAGCTGTCAAATCAGCTTGCTTCAAATAGTATGACACAGTATGCAAAGCTGTCAAATCAGCTTGCTTCAAATTGCATGACACAGAATGCAAAACTGTCAAACGACCTTGCTTCATATGACATAACACAGAATGCAAAGATGTAAAATGAGCTTGTTTCAAATGATATGATGCAGAATGCAAAGCTGTCAAATCAGCTTGCTTAAAATGGCATAACACAAAATGCAAATCTTTCAAATCAGCTTGCTTCAAATAGTATGACACAGAATGCAAAGCTGTCAAACGACCTTGCTTCAAATGGCATGACACAGAATACAAAGCTGTCAAATAACCTTGCTCCAAATGGTATAACCATATGCTTCATATGACATGACACAGCATGCAAATCTGTCAAATAACCTTGCTTCAAATGGCATGACACAGAATGCAAAGCTGTAAAATAACCTTGCTTCATATAACATTACGCAAAATGTAAAGCTGTTAAATGAGCTTGCTTGAAATGGAATGACACAGAATGCAAAGATGTCAAATGAGCTTGTTTCAAATGGCATGTCATTGAATGCAAAGCTGTCAAATGACTTTGGTTCAAATTGCGTGATGCAGAATGCAAAGCTGTCAAATGAGCTTGCTTCAAATGGCATGACGCAGAATGCAAAGCTGTCAAATAAGCTTATTTCAAATGGCATGACACAGAAGGCATAGCTGTCAAATAACCTTGCTTCAAATGGCATGACACAGAATGCAAAGCTGTCAAATAACCTTGCTTCAAATGCCATGACACAGAACGAAAAGCTATCAAATGAGCTTGCTTCAAATGGCATGACAGAAAATGCAAAGCTATCAATTGACTGAGCTAGCTTCAATGGCATGACACCGAATGCAAAGCTGTCGATTAACATTGCTTCAAATGGCATGACACAGAATGCAAAGCTGTCAAATGAGCCTGCTTCAAATGGCATAACACGGAATGCAAATATGTCATATGAGCTTGTTTCAAATGATATGATACAGAATGCAAAGCTGTCAAATCAGCTTGCTTCAAATGGCATGACACAGAATGCAAAGATGTAAAATGAGCTTGTTTCAAATGATATGATGCAGAATGCAAAGCTGTCAAATCAGCTTGCTTAAAATGGCATAACACAAAATGCAAATCTTTCAAATCAGCTTTGTTCAAATAGTATGACAGAGAATGCAAAGCTGTCAAACGACCTTGCTTCATATGACATGACACAGCATGCAAAGCTGTCAAATAACCTTGCTTCATATAACATTACGCAAAATGCGAAGCTGTCAAATAATCTTGCTTCAAATGCCATGACACAGAACGAAAAGCTATCAAATGAGCTTGTTTCAAATGGCATGTCATTGAATGCAAAGCTGTTAAATGACTTTGGTTCAAATTGCGTGATGCAGAATGCAAAGCTGTCAAATGAGCTTGCTTCAAATGGCATGACGCAGAATGCAAAGCTGTCAAATAAGCTTATTTCAAATGGCATGACGCAGAAGGCATAGCTGTCAAATAACCTTGCTTCAAATGGCATGACACAGAATACAAATCTGTTAAATGACTTTGGTTCAAATTGCGTGATGCAGAATGCAAAGCTGTCAAATAAGCTTATTTCAAATGGCATGACGCAGAAGGCATAGCTGTCAAATAACCTTGCTTCAAATGGCATGACACAGAATACAAAGCTGTCAAATAACCTTGCTTCATATAGCATTACGCAAAATGCGAAGCTGCCAAATCATCTTGCTTCAAATGTCATGACACAGAACGAAAAGCTATCAATTGAGCTTGCTTCAAATGGAATGACACAAAATGGAAAGCTTTCAATTGACTGAGCTAGCTTCAAATGGCATGACGCAGAATGCAAAGCTGTCACATCAGCTTGCTTCAAATGGCATGACACAGAATGCAAAGCTGTCAAATAGCCTTGATTAAAATGGCATAACACTGAATGTAAAGATGTCAAATGAGCTTGTTTCAAATGGCATGTCATTGAATGCAAAGCTGTCAAATAACCTTGCTTCAAATGCCATGACACAGAACGAAAAGCTATCAAATGAGCTTGCTTCAAATGGCATGACACAAAATGCAAAGCTATCAATTGACTGAGCTAGCTTCAATGGCATGACACCGAATGCAAAGCTGTCGATTAGCATTGCTTCAAATGGCATGACACAGAATGCAAAGCTGTCAAATAACCTTGCTTCCTAATTGTACGTTAGAGAATTGACAAACAACAAGGTGGCACATTGGTAATTGTAACATAAGGGAATTATTTGAATGAAAGCACATATGTTACTGGATTATTCGCAACCTGTCTTACAACATCCACAAGATAAAGAACTGCAAACCACATATGGACATAATGAAAATTTTAAATGGTTGTGGTCGTTGTGCTCCTCATGTGCGACATTTATGTTGATGTTTTCCACAATCCAATACGCTTTTCTAATGTAATCAAGTATGAGGTTTAACCTTGCACTAATTACCGACTTAATTAATATATATTTAAGCTTGATAACGTCTCAGTTTGTACTCGTTTTTCTGCGCAATAGCCAAAGTCGCCATCTTTGTTTATATGAGGCTCATATATCTCACGTATGCGTGGTGAGACGACTACCGTCCCTTTAATATGCTTATATTAAGCCCGGGGTGGTGGTGGGTCACTCTATATTAAAGCCTTACACCATGTGCATTCTTGCCAAAAAATAATAGGCACCTAGAGCTGGCAGCACATTGGAAAACTATACCCCCTATTGCAGATGCAATGTAAATTCAGTACACCCTGGAGCAGACATATAAAAAACACCCCCTATTTCAGACATATATCCTACATTCTACCCATATTGCAAGCATTCTCTGTCGTTTTTTTGCACTCAAGTGGAGTGTGGTCAACTCAAACAATCTACTTGTGTTTGCTGTGTATACAACTCTTTGGTTGGTGTCATTTGTTGTTCGATGAAGAAAGATAAAAACTTGATGATACACTGTGCACACAACTTTGCCAGGATTCTTATTCCATCAGATACCAGTACGCAATTTATGTTTAGCACCGAGTGACTTTGGCATGAATACAGGGCAGAAAACCCAGAAAACTAAACATAAGAATGCAGGAGTTGAAAGACCCGCCCTTCTCACTCAGGAACTTTAGGGGTAGTTATGCTTGTACAAAGATTTCAAATTAACCCCTCAAATGTGGGAAGACCATTACATTTATAAACTCTGGCCCTTATTGACGACACAATTAAGTGAAAAAAAGCACTAAAAATATACTGCCACCCACTTTGAAAGGGTTTTAAATACCCAATTACCCATTTCTGAAGCACAGAAACATGGGTAGTAACGGCATATAGAGCGACCCCTTGGGATATTAAGTAACAAATATGATAGTTAGATAGGATTTAGTTGTTGAGAAGGAAAGTACAATGATTTTCATTTAACAAAAAATAAATAACTTGTATATATATGATTCAATGCAATCTTAATTGTGGAATATAAGTTTGAAACGCAACTTGGACTCTTGATACCAATTGAAATTCCTACGACTTTACACACGGTCATGTTTTACGCAAGTCCGTGAATGCAGCATAATCATCAAGCCTACCCATGCATCTTGATATATGTATACTGAAATGTGCCCTGTCAACATGCCTTGC